AGGCGGCGAAGGTCAGCGCCCGAGATCCGGTGGCGGAGGTCAACGCTCGGGCCCATTCCAATGAAGCTGGCCACGTTCGCGGAGCCCGAAGTTCTTGCCGAGGTGCTGCCAGTGGTGAGTGTGACCGCGCAGACGGAAGCCGAGGAATATCGCGTCAGTGACGATTTGGATATCAATTTGAATCAGGTGGGTTTGAGGGGCGAGTGTGGTTGGTTGTTTTCATGTGTTTGTGATGTTGTTGGCGATTGGTTCTAGCTACAATGTGTATGTGGTGAAGGATGCGAGCGCCGAGGTGGTGGGCGTTAGGGCCTGGGCTACTCCGCCTCGCCCAGTGCATGTTCATGAGATGGGCTGCGAGAAGGGGGGCCCGCCGAAGAGGCGAAGGCGCGATGCCTCGCCCGAGCCAGGGTGAACATGGAGAAGTCACGTCCACTTGGGCGTCAAGATCCCGCGACGCACAAGAGCAGGGGCAATGTGTTTCGCGCGGCGGCTGGTCGCTGCGCGCCGCTTGTAGAGAAGCGCCCAGGAGCTTGGAGCTCATGAGTGCGCGGGCCTTCGACGAACAGTGCGGGGAGCCAGTTGGGGTGGGGCGATGCTGCGTCGCCGGGGCGTCCACGGCGGCATTCGATCACCCCTTGAGGCCGTTGCGCGCGAGAGAACGCTTAGAAGGCGTTCTGATGATGATGACGATGTGTGTCCGATGCCATGGCTGTTGCTGTTTTTGCTGGATGGAGAACGCGGGCCTGGGGGTGTCTGCAGAGGCTTGGTGGAATTGCTGCGTAATAAGCTGGCGGGCGAAAGGGTCTGCTAGCATGCGCGGCGGCTTCGAGGAGGGCTGCGGGGTTTCACGACGCGCGAGCTGACTAAACGTTTGGCTCGAGGAAGCGGAATTCAGCGCCGCCGCCGCCCCGCGAGATGGCGGCGCGCGCGTTGGCGCAGGAGAGGAGATTTCGACGCGCCAGGTCTGGCGAGCCGCGCCGAAGTGCGCGAGGGCTGGGGAATTCGATCTTGAATGATCCTGCGTCGACGGCGCCCCCCCCCGAGAGCGCGCGGCGGGGCGCCGACAGGACGCCCGAGGATCGCCCGCCCCATTTTGTCCTGGCGGACGGGGTGCGCGGGGTGCGCGAGACGGGCCCATGGTACTTCTCGCAAGATAGCAATCCCAACCTGTCCGGCTGGGATGTAGGGAACGCTCCGTTCTAACATGCGAGCGCGTCGTGGGCCCCCCCAGGTCGCGATGCCTCAGGGATGAGGAGCAGGAGAAGGAGAAAAGGTTGGTTTGAAAGTTCGCGCACGCTCGACCATCTGCGCTCGCAGGGCTGGTGGGACTTCTTTGGTTTCTCGCGTTGTCGGTCTCGCGTTGGCAGCTGCGTTCGTTCAGTCGCACAACATGACGTCGTCCTCTTGGTGCTGCTGCTGCTACTGCTGTTACTGCTGTTACTCCTGATGCTCTCTCTCTCTCTCTCTCCCTCTCTCTTTCTACACATATATAAATATTATCCTCATGCGCTGTTTTTTTATAAGCCGGGGGGGCGGGGGAAAAATGCCCCCCCAAACCAAACGCCGAACCCCAGGATTTGGAACTTTGGGGCCCCTTCGACGCCGTCGGAAGAGGCCCCCCAGTCCTTCCGCGCCTCCCAGGGCGCCTTGCCGGGCCTTGCCAGCAATCCCAAAAGGGATTTCAGAAATAGCCCCACGGCAGCGCAAAACTACTTCAAAACGGCCCACGAACCCCCCAAAACTGCCCAAGAACCCCCAGAAACGCCCCAATAGGCCTTCAGGAAAGCACCCAAAAAGCAACATACATGTTTAGCATCTTCGCTTTTTTGTGCCGTAGCAGCGTCGAAGACTGCCCAAGAAGCCTGCGAGATCGCTTCAAGGCGGCCCAATAGGTCCCGGAGAGGGTTTTCAAACCGAGCCAAGAGGACCCCAAGACAGCCCCAAGACGGCCCAAAAGAAGCTCACGAGGCCGCCAAAGGCTCCACTAAACAGACCCGTGAGGGCCATGGGCGGTCCCCAAGAGGGCCCAAGTTCCTCAGGAGAGCCCCGCGGAAGCGCAAGATGGCCTCAAGACGGTCCAAGAGGCCCCCAAAACTCCCCAAGAGGCCTCCAGGGGAGCCCCCAAAAGGCACAAACCGTTTCATTTCCGGAGGGAAAGCGTACATTTTGAGCATCTTCGCTTTTTGTGCCGTAGCAGTGTTCAAGACGGCCCAAGAAGCCTGCGAGATCGCCCCAAGGCGGCCCAAAAGTCCCCCAAGAAGGCTTCAAGCCAGGCCAAGAGGACCCCCCGACTGCCCCAAGACGGCTCAAAAGAAGCTAACGAGGATCCAAAAGCTCCCAAACGAGACCCAGGAGGGACACGGGAGGCCCCCAAGAGGGCCAAAGTTCCACAGGAGGAGAGCCCCAGAACGGCCCAAGAGGGACCCAAGACGGCCCACACGGGCTTCAAACAGATTCCCAGGACGGCCCAAAGTGGCGCCCATGAGGCCTCCAGAGGTCCCCGAAGCCTTTGAAACACATTCGTGCGGCCCCCAAAAGATTCTCCAACGAGGAGCCTCCTCTAACAGACTTGGGAAATGGTTCGCTATGCCAGGCGAGATCGTGGATGAACGAGAAGTGCGATGAGGAACGATGAGGCGTTACTTTCCATTGCCTTGCATTGCGCAATTGGGCGGCTTGGGCCACGAGCGAGCCCGTGTGGTGGCCACGCGATTGACCCCGAACGCCATTCCTTTGCACGAGCGTGCGTCTTCCAGAAGGCGTCTCCTACGAAATTCACCAAATCGAGTGTCGCAGGCCTAGAGGTTGACACCAACACCAAGATCGGCGGTGTGCCTCCACCGAGGGAAGACGATCCCGATCTCGGTGATGGTGGTAACATTCTGGTTTCCAAGGTGACCGAAATATTACCACCAACGCCGAAATCTAGGATCATCTTCCCAATGTGGAGGCAACCCCCTGTGCTTGTATTGGTGCCAATTTCCAGGCCTCCAAAGTGGGTCGGTCGGGGTTTAGAGCTTGAGTGGGTCGGCCGGGGCTTCGTCGCGTGCCCGCCCCTGCCGCATCGTGGGCGCTCGTGGGCCCCAGACCGTAAAGCTCACACCGGTGTTCTTCCCTTCGCGCAGCTTCCACAACGCCGTTGCCAGTATTCGGAGGTTGATAGACCTCCTACCCTGACACGTTGATTAAGGAATTGGCCGTTTTCGGCTCGGCAAAAGGCGTCGCGGCCGTCATTTTCGCGGGTCCAGGTCCGTCGGTTTCGGTCCTAGGCCGTTTTCGCTAATGGGAGGTTTACTAAAGGGAGGTTTGTCCACCGCCGAGGTATATTGTTCATACCGCCTGTCCTGCACCATATAACTTACATCGTGTCGATATACCACCACATCCCCCGCATGGCATAATTTCAAAATGTAGTGTCCACCAAAGAACTTACACCGAAAAGCTTTCGCCACGTAGCTCACACCACATGGTTACCACCACAACATAGCTCACATCACACAGGTTTACCCGCAGAACTTCCACCGCCTGAGTTCCAAACCTCACTGTTCGAGTTCTGCGATGGCTCGCATTGTTGTTGAAATTATGCCGTTGGGAGCCGCTGGAAGCCGCCAGGCTTCTGCAATCCTCGGAGGTTTTGGTTCGACGTCGGCCTGCAGGAGCCGCTGCAACCTGGGGGGCCTCAAAAACAGATCCCAGGGTAAAGAACGACCCCCTGGAAACAATTTTTTCTCCACCGCGGTCGGTTTGTGTTGCGTCGACGCGGCGGCGACCCCAGCGCGTGCGTTCGGAATGAACGCGGCCCGTGGTCAGGACTCGGCCAGCGTTGAACGGGAATGCGCGATCGTTCACGGCTGAACGATCCTAGCGGTGTCAAAAATCGATGCGCAGGCTGTTACGACACCAGTCAGCGCAGGATCTCGCGAAGAAGACATGCGATGTTGGTTCGACGTTCTTTCGGAGCCTCCAGGTGGCGCTCTCGCGCCACGTGTTGGGGTCCGCCTCGAAATTCGAGTCAAAACGCACCCCAAGAAATGTTGGGGTGGCACACGGATCTGTAAAGCGAGGGCAAGAGCAAATAGGAATTGGTGATGGGGATTGGACGGGAATCGGCCAAAGTTCAAAGGCCAAAGAGGAATTCCCCACGGCGTTTTTTGGGGGGGGATCCTCCCGCCGGAAAAATACAACAGCAAGTCTTTCTTGCTTTATTTTGGCTTCCCCCTAAGCTTTTTCTGCCTCCTTTTCCAAGGATCTGTTCTTGTGAGCGATTTACATTTAGATTCCTGTTGTGGCGATTTCACGTAGAATCTTTTTTTTGCATGGCGTTACACTCATATACGTTTTGTAGGCGATTTGCACATTCATTTCCGTTGTGTGGATTACACATACAATATTCTCGTTCGGCTCGCAATTGAGATGCTTGTGAAAAAAATGTGCATTGTTGTTTAACTGCCTGGATTTCCAATGGATTTCTTGAGTGTGGACTTGCTATCAGGTCCTTTTTGTGGTCACGTTGATTTAGATGGGAGTGGATTACACATCGAATCCCTGAATCTGGCTTTGTGATGCCATTCCTGCGTGTAAGAAAGCTGCACCGCCCCCTGTCGTAGAAGTCGAGGGCCACTACGCTGCTGCAGCAGGTCGTCGAACGCAAGATGCCAGAACAGCACGCAACGCAACACAACGCAACAACAAAGCACATCGGACGAACCAAAAACACAAAAGAAGCAAGGGCGCGCCGAGACAGACCGTGGCCCCTCCCCGGCGGCGCCCCCGCGCGCCAGGGGGTGCCTTCTTCCGGACCGTTCCAGCACGCTCTTGGAGCGCTCGAAAGGCCCCGTGGAAGCTCTGTCTCTCCCGGTCCGATTCTGTCCCGATCTTGGCTTCGCCTCAGACAGCTTGTGTTTGTGCCGATGCTTGTTCCTCCGTTCCTCGCCTCGCCCCGCCCGCTGTCTTATCGAGCCCGATGCCCCCTCTGTCGGGGCGGGCCTGGGCGACCCCAGGCTCTGCTCTACTTCGTGCCGAGGGCTGCCACCGTCAAGGCGAAGGATGCCCCCTCCCATGCGCGCCACCGCTCCCGCTGCAGGAGAGACGGGTCCTCTGTCAAGCAGTGGCGCAGCGTCTTGACCTGCCTGTAGGCCCACCAGGTACTGCTATGATGATCTTTTGTAGGTTTCACCATTCTGAGAACGTCTTTGATTGAGCTTCTTTTTATTTTCACATAATTATCACCTATATTATATACAACTCTATGTATGAATTTAGATAAAGATGTCAGAGCCTTTTTTGGCTCTAAGAACATCGTTTTGTTACACGAACAGTTCGTGGTAGGCCTAGAGGAATGCCGGAGCTGTGGGCCTTTGCTCTACTCCAGTCGACGAGGAGCAATCGGCATGAGCTTAGACGCTTGGAGGTCCTCGAGGGTTTCTTGGGTCGGCGCTGGGGCCTGCTGGCGGCGCCCCTGGCGCCGCCACTGGCGCGCTCACGCGCGCCGGGGAGGGGGCTCTCAGCGCCGCTCTGGGAATTCCGTGCGTACCGTCGAACGTTTGCTTCATGCCGTCTGCCCTTCCCCCATCTGAGGTCACCCGCGGGTGCGCGAAGACAGCCGCGCTTCGCGCGTCGCGGTCTGGACCGTGGACCTGCCCGCTTTCCAGGAGGTGTGACGCGAGAGCTCGAGAGCGCGAAGTTCAACGCGCGTCGCGCATCCCAGGGCGCGATGGGCGAAGTTAATCGTAGGGAGAGAGAGAGAGAGAGAGAGAGAGAGAGAGAGAGAGAAGCTGAAGGCAAAAACGCACATGAGCACGAAAAACAGCCTCAGAGGGCATCGCAATACCGCGTGACGGTCGCGTGCCAGGCTGCGATGGACTACACCGAATCTTGCCAAAGATGCGCAAGGGCCTCCTCACCCCCAGCTGCCCGGACAGCGGGGATGTTTTATCCAGAGGTAGGGTTCGGGAGCGAGCCTCAATTTCCGGGGGCCGTTTCGAGCGATCCTTCTCCAAGCTCACGTCTGCTCAGACCCCACCTTTCCGTCTCATCGACAGTGCAGGATGCTTTATGCAGCAGGGTCGCGCCGCGTTGACGCTGCGGCGGATGCATGGAGTCGGCCGACATCTGTATCGATCGGTCTGCGCTATCGGCAAGCCGCGATCTTTCAAGGTTGAGGGACCCGAGCGGTGTGAGACACCAACGCTCAGGTCCTCACGGCATGAACCTGCCGTACGCAGTATTCGCGCCGTTCGTCTTCCTCCGCCAAGATAGCAGCACCAGCCACTCGAAGCCTTTCTCCGCCCCTCCTTCCCTCCCTCCCAGCTCAGTGTCTTCGGGGACGCAGGGCTCATGACTTGACTTGCTGACGAGAAGCATATTCTGAATTCGCCAATTCGCCTTGATGCGGGAATGGCGGCAGGCAGGGAGAGATGTCGGCCCCATGCTCAATTAGATTCCGTGTGGACTGTGCAAAAGATGAGGCGTATTGGCCGCAAAGGTGGCATTTGGCCTCATTCCCGGCATCACAGACACAGACTGCGGATTAGTGAACGTGGGTGTGATGGGAACAGTTCTCTCAGCACCGCCAGCATAGCAAGACAAACCACGGGCTAGCCCGCGAGCCCCGGCTCATCTCTCATCGCAACCATTCGTTCAGCTTGCCGCCAACCCCTTTCCACCGAGTTTGGGCATAGGATGTGCAGTTCCGCCGTCATCTCTGGGCCTGCGAAGCGGGGTTGAGGGCTCTGGCTCCTTCGGGTCGCCAAGGCGTGGACACCGCAGCCAATTTCTGCATTAGATGATCGGGAGTTCGTCCTCGAACGCCATCGCGGCTCGCTGTCATGGTCAGGTTTCCGACCGCAGGTCGGCTGTCGAGCGTTGATCGCTATGTCGGATCACAGCCTTGCAGCGTTTGGATGACACGGCCCGTCTGGATCTTGGTGTTGAGCATTAGGTTTCATGCGCGATCGAACCATTTTGTCGTACAGGGCGAAACTGTGCTGACCAGCGCAACCAAAGCATGCCATGAGGAGCAAAGTACGGAAGAGCAAGTGGAGAAGAGCAGGTTAGGAGAATAACATGGCCGCGTTTTTTTTGGCGATGTTGATATCTTCCAATGCTTCTCAGGAGAAAGGAACGGTTTGGATCATCGACCGTACGAGTTTCAAGGACCAGCTATGCTCTGTTCCCGCGGGACTTGCTGCCAACGTCTCGTCTTGCCCTGATGCTCTCTCTTTGTTTTATGCCTCTCTTAGTTCCTGCTTCACTTGCCACTGCAGCCTGGCCAGGTCTCATGATGCCACCTCCCTCCTGGTATAACTTCTGATTGGAGTTCATGTCTGGGGTCTTCGAATAGTGCGGTATCTCGAGCTGATTTCGACAGGAGTGCGCGGTTGGTAGACGATAGTGGGACCGAGAATGACATTCACTTTCGCGAGAAATTTGGTCTTGGTCCTAAGGGCTTCTTCTGGATGATAGGGTGAGGGAAACGCTATGCGGCGCCGAGGGCGAGAGCGAAGCAGTCGACCAGGAACACCGGCAACAATCACAGCAGAAGAGGAAGACTAACATGAGGAGAAGGAGGATGGGGAGAAGAGGGAAGGAGGACGAGGCCAGGGAGAAGAGGCAGGAAGAGCAGGAGGAGGAGGAAGAGGAGGATACTGTCCAGCAGGAAGAGGTCACAGGTGCGAGAGGTAGGTAGGTAGGTAGGTGTCCTCCCGTAGAGGATTGTATTTTGGGCCCTCGGGCTCGGGTCCTTTGGCAGAGAGTTGCAGGGCCGGGACGGCGACTGCTTCGACTCCGCGACGTCCGCCCAGGGAAAGGGCGGGCTCAGTCATGCGTGCAGGGGGGGAGGGGGAGGGCGGGGGGGCAGCCCACGGCTGCCCGGCCCGCTCCGGCCCGCCTCCGATCCCCTGCCTGCACAAAAGAGACCGCGCCTTTGCCCGAACAGCGAACGCGGTGGGGAAGAGGAGGGGAAGGCCTGGGGAGAGGCTCCTTTCGGGGACCTCTCCGGCAGGGGCCCCCGCCCGGACCCCCGGCCGCCTCATGTCGACGCAATACGCAACTGCGGGACTAGGAGTACGGAGGGAGTGGGGGCCACCCCTGGAGACAAGAAGGATTTCGGACTCCCGTGGCCCTGCCCAAAAGTCTGCCTCCTCCTTCTCGAGGAAGGCCGCCAGCGCAGCCGCCTCTGCACTGCATATCCTGCATCGCCCGGTCGCACAGACAGGGCCGCCCTGACGTTGGACTCCTTGTCGGGCGGCGCATCCGTTCTTCTCGCCTGCCAGAAAGCTTGCCTGAGAGGGCCGGTCTTCGCGCAAGCAGCGAGCACATGCATTGTGGGGCTGTGGGTGATGGTGCCGCAGCAGATGCACTGCTGGCGACTGGCCCACGAGCGTGCGCCCCCTACATGGGTGAGACGCACCAGGCGGAGGCGAAGGCGCGCGAGCGCCCTCTGGCCTTGGAGCTCATCCCAGCTCAGCCCCATCGATAAGGCTTGGGATAGATCGCGCCGGACCCCTCCGCCCAGGGAGAGATAGGGGAGCGGACGCGTGTGCAGGGCCAGCTCTTGAACCAGCTGCCTCCGACAGCGCTCTTCTACGATCTCCCGGACCCTGGCCTTGTACGACTCCAGGCTGGACCCTGGATACGAAGCCTCCCAGAATGGCCAATCTGGCAGCTCCCAGGCCTCCAACAGATTCAGCGATACTCGCGACCACGTGCGCCCGGGCGCTTGGTGCGCACGTACGAAAACTGTCTTGTAGAGGTCGGATTCTGGCAGCCGCCAGAGCCCCGCCCGCCTCGAAGCTACGTCTATGACCGCGCGCCCCGAGCCCGAGAAATTTGGTCTTGGTCCTAAGGGCTCCTTCTGGATGATAGGGTGAGGGAAACGCTATGCGGCGCCGAGGGCGAGAGCGAAGCAGTCGACTAGGAACACCGGCAACAATCACAGCAGAAGAGGAAGACTAACATGAGGAGAAGGAGGATGGGGAGGAGAGGGAAGGAGGACGAGGCCAGGGAGAAGAGGCAGGAAGAGCAGGAGGAGGAGGAAGAGGAGGATACTGTCCAGCAGGAAGAGGTCACAGGTGCGAGAGGAGGGAGATAAGGAGGATGAGGAGGAGGAGGGCGGGGGATGAGAATGAGGATGAAGAAGAGGATTGTAGTGTATTGCTAATGCCCCTCAGGGTAGACGAGGAAGACGATGACGACGAAGAAGATGATGATGTCGATGATGACAATGGAGATGTTGATACTGATGCTGCGGCTGATTATTATGATGCTGATGCTGGTGATGGTGATGCTGGTGATGATGATGATGATGATGATGATGATGATGATGATGCAGTTGCTGTAGTTGTAGTAGTTGTAGTTGTAGTCGTTGTTGTTGCTGCTGCTGTTGTTGTTTTTGTTGTTGTTGTTGGTGTTACGGTGCTGTTGTTGTTGTCGTCGTTGTTGTTGCTGCTGCTGTTGTTGTGGTTGCTTTTTTTTGTTGTTGTTGTTGTTGTTGTTGTTGTTGTTGTTGGTGTTACGGTTCTGTGGTTGTTGTCGTCGTCGTCGTTGTTGCTGCTGCTGTTGTTGTTGTGGTTGTTGTTGTTGTTGTTGTGGTTGTTGCTTTTTTTGTTATTGTTGTGGTTGTTGTTGCTGCTGCTGTTGCTGTTGTTGGATTCGCATTCTTGGACAATGATTCGTTTTGATCCCCGCCACCGGTGCACAACGTGATTTTCAATTGAAGTGCTCCCCTGCGCTTCGGCAACCCTCCTGCTCGACCTGGCCGCATCTGCCCGCCTTCCCTACCCGCCCACTAGGTTCTGCCAGCCTGGTCTGCCCGTCTGGTTCTGCCACGTGCTTCTGCTCCTATCCCTCCTCCTGCTGATACCTCTCGTGCTCCATCCTTCTCCTTCCCCCTTCCATCCGTCCTCTCTTCTGCTGTTTTAGGGGCTGCACTACATGCACGTGGCATGTAAGGAAGATGTACCCCCAATGGGGGCATGAGCGAAGACGAAGAGAGCAGGTACCGAGGATTTGGGATATACATGTGAGTGGCACGCGAGCAGATAGGAGCGAGCAGTCTTAAAATGATTGTTGTTGTTGATTGTTAGAAATGGTTGACGATGGTCGATGAAGGTGATGATGTTGATGTTGATGATGGTGGCGATGATGGTGGTGATGGTGATGGTGATGGTGATGGCGGTGGCGATGGCGATGAGGATGAGGATGAGGATGATGGTGAGGAGGAGGAGGAGGAGGAGGAGGAGGAGGAGGATATGGCGAAGGAGGAGGAGGAGGAGGGAGGGGGTAGGGAGTCCAGCCCCACGTCCCAGAAAGCAAAGTGACACGCCGTCAACTTGCAAGACATACCCTGCCGCAGGGGTCGCCGCCGCGACACACCAAGCTACACATCTCCATTGCAGCTTCGCCGACTCCACGGATTTGGTTGAGCTGAGGTGCCTCGAACGCGCACACGCCAGGCTTCCGCAGTGTCGGTTTGCATTGCCTCTTTTTTTTGCGACATTCGAACCACTCAGGAGCCATGGGACGATTGGAGCAGGCGTTCTGGTTGATCGTCTTGATCACCGTAGCTGGGAACTTAATGTAATGCATTCAAGTTTGATGAAAACAATTTCGGCGCCATGGCGATCGCTTTGGTGCTGTATTGCGAGCCAATTTTCCATACTGTTGCAAAGACCCTTCCAGGGCACGTACTAGAATAGTATGTCCGATCTTACGCAATAAGGTGGCTTATTCTCTTCTTGTTCTTTTGCAGTTTCACCCAGGATGTAGTGATCGTTTTGCCAGATCGTTTTGCCAGTCATGCTGGCAGTTCAGGCTCTCCTCGCAGTCGTCTTGTAGGCGACGGAGAACGATAAGGTCACGCCCGAGGACACGAGCAAGCACGCTGTTGTGAAAACCGCCATTTGCTGCGCCACGCTTTGCAATTACCTCGTAGTTGGCTTTATCCATTTGTCCTTCCTCCCCTGTAAAGACGATGGTCTGTTCAGACAGAAACCGTTCGAGGTGGTATTGACGTGCTGGCTGCTGCTCAACGGTGTTGGCACGCAATCTCGGTACCAGAAGTTTGGGTAGACTTTGAAATGAATCAGGGACACTTCCGAGGACGCCGAGGAGGCTGATGAGGCTATACAGCATGCCCTTACCTAGAGAAATGCAGCTCACGCGCCTGCGTCAGCCAGCTTTCTTCGTCTACATCTCAGTCTTTGCTTGGATGTACTGGTTCAGCGACGATGTCGAGATCGATCTCGACAAGGGCAACACGATGTTCACGATGGTGATGTCTAGCAGCATATTTTGCTGCGGTCCCTTATCGGTGTACACCAACTTCAAGGAGCATGCGAAGTCACCAGAAGGTGGGCAGCCATCAGGTGGTCAAGCATCCGATGTAGTGGGGAAGCCAGTCCATGCAAGCGACCAAGCTAAGACGCCACGAGCACATGGGCAGTCAGAAGGTGGGCTATCCTGAAACAGCACGGTGATCTGCCTGCGCCGCTTGAACCTTGTGTAAGTAATACGTCTTCTTCTGCACAGGCGCGTGCTTATAAGTTAGCCGCCTTGCACTATTACTACCCCCCCCTGCTTTTCGCATGCAGGGCCTTGAATATCTGCAACAGACTGCCGGTCTAGGGATGGTGATCGGTGATCGTGCTTATAATGAGAATCGAGGGGTCACTCGGACCTCTGCGCTACCCCGCTCCTTGCCCCCCCCCCCGGGAGGTGGCTGGTCTAGTATACTCTTGAACGTGCTTGCACTGTGACCTGCGACGTACTTCTCGCCTTCGCTGGACACCCTGGCCCTCAAGATCCCGCGGAACTCAAGGGGTCCCCCCATGGCACCAGATTGCAGGAAACTTCTTATTTCATTCCGATCTCGGTCACAGGGGATTGCCTTCCTCCACTGAGCCCGCGGAGGGCCCCGCAGATCGGCGCCGCCTCCTGCAGAAGTCGGCCGGGCGCAGCTCGGGAAAGAGGTGCGCCTGGACCCCAGGAGGGGTCTGGGGACCGAGTTCGAGCTGCCTGCGCCTCAGGTTGCGCTGCCCCGACAGAGCAGCCGCAGCTCAGGGAGCGGCGGCCCTCCATCGCCCCTCCCGCAGGAACCCGTCGGCCTCGACGCCCCTCTCGTCGCCACGAGGGGTTCCCCCCAGGAGAGGGGGGGGGGGGGGCGTG